CCAAAATCCCAATATCGTGCATCCCTACTAAAAATATGTACTATCTAATAGTATAGTTGATGTAATCTCCATCCAAAACAGGTTAAGATCCTTTAAAATACTCAAGACTTAAAGACTTGAGGTACATAGTGATATGGTGAAAAGCTATCCATGTTCAATTGATAATCCATTGTTTTAAACACGAAATTATCAAAACAAACAAGCCTATGTATTAATCCATAGAAAACAGTAGGCCCTACAGTATCTGTCTGATCATAGCTCTCATCATACATTTATATGCAAAGGTAATTAGGTTGATCCAGCTGTGTGGCTGTATAATATCAGAGAAAATCTATATAAGTTAACAGTAATGGCACAGCAAGCTGCAGAAAAAGATGGAAGTGCAGAGAACGCCAGAATGGAAATAAGCTCCACATGAAACACATTAACCTGAATAAGTAGGGCTGAAGACAGCATGGGACATGGATTGCACATGAGTATATTAATTTAGAATGAGAGCAATATAATGGACATGGGATGTGTTTGTGTGTAATTGTGACAATTGTTGTATAATATTAGAAAATTCTACTTCAGGAGATTCCCAGTTACTTTTTCATACCTGTATATACATGTTCTGTAGTATTTTAATACAAACACAGTGCACAATGTTACACCTGTTTTTACTGGATAACTTGGCTCCAGAAAATGATTCATTTATCTAATAGTTTGTTCTACCTTTAAGGACCAGGAACCTTCATCAGGTGCAATATACGTTTTAGGACATCCTCAAATCTCAGGACAAGAATTGTCATATTTTTAAAGAAAGTAATATAAGAGCATGACATATCTTAAATATCTTAACAGAATAAACGGTGGTGTCTATAATTACACTGACAAACTTCCCCTCCTTTCCTCTTTGCCTTTGTCTGTCAGTCCAGCGTAAGTGGAGACCTGAAGCCCTCAATAGTCAAATCCCAAGTTTCACTGAAGGCCTTTAAAATCCTTTTTATAGTGGACATTACTTTGAATTTGAATTCTATTCCTGAGGGACAGAACGTTTTTGGAGGATGAGGAATTTGATCAGTTCACTGTTTCCTGAGATAAACTCTGAGACCTGCATGTCTAACCCACTTTCTTTTACATGCATCTTGTTTTTTCTCCTTACTCTGATAAGGTCTCTCAAAATGAGATTCAATAATTGTGGGTTGAAGTCTGACACTTTAGGTCAAGTTTAGCTGTAGAAGTGTGTCTCTAGAGTATGGAATAATTACTTACTGATAAAGGAAACTTCATCTATTTAATGAAATTAAATT